AAAATAATATTAAAATTGCTTTAAAACGTCTGAAGTTTTTCAGATTATCCTTGCAGCATATTACATATATTGAAGTAATTAAACAGGTTATTTTATTTTTAATAAACAGTGCCGTAAGTAATTTCATAAACAGAAGATGTTTTGTGTGCCACAACCTTTTTGTAAAACCATTGGCTATATGACAGTATTTTTCATGCTTTTCATTTGGTGCTCTAAGGAATTTTAATTTCTGGGTCAATACAGATTTTGTCTACAGAAAACAGAGGTAGAGGCCATGTAGTTAATTGATTAACTTCTCTTCTGCTGGGTGGCCCAGCTGCATTGAAGAAATGTGGATTCAGTTACCACAATTTAAAAAATGAACAGACAGCCCTCCCCCACCTTTTCAGTCATAAAACTAGTAGTCTTCCACTATAAATAGAAATAAAAGCTACCAATAGGCTGTGGCATCTGCCTTTAGAGCTAGGAGAGCCATTTACAGCAGGAGAAGACTGAAGGAGGGAAATACAGGAGTAGGTGACTAGACAGTATCCGGGGAGCAGAGCAGAGTGGATCAGTGAGATGATAGAGAAGAAACAGGTAAGAGGAAAGGACTTACAGAAACAGAAGTGTAACTTCAGTGGGGTGCTTTGGGGAAGCTGCACTATGTAGGGCAGCAGTGACTTCCAGCTACTGCCATGATTCTGGCATGATTGTACAGCAGCAGCAGTTTTTTTCTGCCTCCTACCCCCAAATCAGCATTCAGGGCAGCTGCCCAGGTCACCCCACCCTACTGTTACTGTAGAGAAGGGGTCAGCAGAGAAAGCTGTACAGGGGAGCAGAAGGGAAAAAGCAGTAAAGCAGGTGGACAGTGAGATGAAGAACAAGAGCAGAGATCATGCAATTAACTTTATTCAAAAAGGGCAGAACTGTTATCGCATAAAAGATAGCTAAATGTGAATTCCCAATAGTACTTTGTTATATAAAGCAATTTCAGTACTCGTCACAGAGGTGTTATCGAATTAAGAGGTTCTCCCTGATTACAAATGGAAATGAAAGCAGCCCAAGAGGTAATCTCACTGCTAAAATATGGTTCATGCTATGAAAAGTTTGGGAATCCCTGTTCTGCAGCATCTGAATAGAAGAAGGGGGGCAAAATTTTAATTAAAAGTAAAGTTAATATTGTATATCATTAGAGCTGGGTGTACTTTAGCATCTTGCAGGGGCAGTTTAACAGCTCAGTAGGTGCTATATTAAATCTCTGCAGATTTACTGTTCACTGAATCAGTTTAGAAAATGGGTCAGTACTAACCAGGCAAATGGGAAATATAAAACTTACATCGGTGATGTTAAAGTTTAAATAGGGAAAACAAAATCAAGTGTTAGTTAAACATTGGAATACATAAATAAATTTCCTTTATTGAAAATACTCCCTACATCCTAAATATTGTGTATCTATGTATATTGGACTTCCTACTTCTAGTAGTTCTTAGCAGCTTGTCTAGAACTCTGTTCAGCACACTTGTTTAGCCTTTAGCAGTTCAGTAGAGTATGGAGCAAGCTGTTTCTTTCTCTTTTTGGTCTGAGTAGTCAGACTGATTAGAGAGCGGATTGCACCAAGCAGGAGTAGTACAAAATTAATTTAAGATATTTATCTTTACAGATTTTTTAAGTTAACCTAATGAAAGGTGAATGACCATAGATGTATTTACCCAAAATTCTGCTGTTTGTAGTCATGGCTAATTCAGCAATACCAGCGTTTAATGAATGGTGTCTTTAGTGGAACATAATTATCATTTAAAATCTATACAGCTCAAATTTTTTTTCTATGCATACCTAGCCACCTTAATATATTATGGTCAATATTTAAAACTAAAACATGGAATATAAAAAAGGGAGACAAGAAATTTTAAGGAAAGCATAGCAGTGAGAGCCCTACAAGGTATAGCAAGGATTGGGCCCCCAGGGTGACTGTGATGCCGTAGTGGCTGCACGACTCCTGCTGTGCTCTGGCTCCCTGGGTCCCCTCCCTTTTCTTTCCCTGCCATGTCTCAATGTAATTAGTTGATATGTAATAAGGGAGACAGTCAGCAGGATCCTTTCAGATGCTGCTGGTCCCAATCCCCCTCCTTGAGGCCCCTTGGCCTGTCTGTGCTCCCAGGCACCAGTTGCCTCAAAGGGCTATTCATGACCTCCTGCCGCCCCCACAGTCATGCGCATGCCTCGCAGCTGTTAACAGTTAATCACAGTCAGGTCTGGCCTCTCCAGGGCTCTCTGTCATTGGGATTTCAGCCCACCTGGCCTCCACCCCTTTTCTCTCGTTGGCCCCGTAGCCTCAGCTCACTGTGCTTGACCTGGCTTCTGGGTTCCACCCACGTCTTGCCTTCTTAGGCCCTGGGCACCCTGGCCCTGTCTGGCTTCCTTCCAGGCTAGGCTTCAGCCACACCCACACACAGTGGTTTCCTTTTAGGGCCCAACATCTAAGTTCCAGGACAGTTTGCAACTGCTTCTTCTGCTGCCTTACCAGGGCTCTGCCCTATTGTCCTATTGCAGAGCTAGTAGCCCAGCAATAGACACTGTTAGTCCCTGGCTGCCTATTCCCCTGCACCCAGTCAATAAATGCACTCTAGTCCCTTCCAACCAAAGGATATTTCTGCTACTGCCTCTGCCTTCAAGTAACAGGAGCCTCTGGGTTCCTGTTACACAAGGATGAAGGATAACCTTGGGCTAGAGACAAAAATTACACTTAGACCAGTATAAGTGATCGGAAACTGGTTGAAAGCTGTAACACAACAAAAGTTCAGTACACATAAACCACTTTCAAAATGGCCAAAAACTGGTTTAAGATTAAATCTGAATGAATGTATTATGAAACTTAGCTGATTTAGGTTAAATTGGTTTGATGAACTTCTGTCCCAGATCCCCTCCAGATTCAAGTTAACTCTCAGTCTCCCAGCATCTCAAGATACTTTGCACCTCCCCTGCAAACCTCTCCTTGTAGCGTGGGCAGTCTAGCCGTGGCCCTAGCTACCTGCTCCAGCTGAGCAGGGAGGTGTGCTCTAGCACCCCTTGGTTTCTGGCTGGAAACTCGCTTATCCGTTCAATCTATGCAGCTTAGAGTAACCTGCAAAGATTGAATCAATTCAGCCTCAGGCTTTTTGGCGATCTGTACTTAGCCCTGATGTTCCTGATCCTGTTAGTTAGATGTTCAGTTTCTGCTGGGAGAATTGCTATAATCCTGGTAGAAACCAAAAATGTAAAAATGTTCATATTCTCTCCCAAACAAAAAATGGCAGTTCTAGGAGAAAATAAACTGACTTCAACCAGGGAGGAGTCAGTGTCCCAAGAGAATTTCTCCTGGAAGGATGAACTTTTGTACAGTTTACCCCAACTTAAATCTTCCTGGGGACTTAGAGCCTCAGGGAAAGGCTCTCATGCCTTTCAGAGACCAGGATCCCCCCAGTCTGGGGAAGGCATGGAGGGCAGCTGCTTCAGCCCCTTCCATAGTCTGGAAGAGGAGCAGAGAAGTAGCTGCCTGATCCTTTCCATCAGGACCTAACATATCTAGTTCTCTGGTATTAGAAGTAGGTGGGGGGGCTTTGCCGTGCCACTTCTTCCACTCAGCTCTGGGCAACATGAATATTTAGATTAGTCCTTGAGGAATATCTTCTAGTATTTCTCCTTTTTATTTTCAGTATACCCAGACCCTCCAACTTACCCCTGCCCTGACAATTTTTTATGTGATGCTGGATGAAGCCTAAGAGTTTTATAACACTCGTTCTTAATCAGAAGATGCTCCTTTTAAGAGAGATGCTAGGAGCAGCTTGTTTATAACTGATGAAAGAAGCAAGCCTCAAAGTGAAATCCTGGGCAATGCAGCACAGTTACTTTTTAATGAAAGGAAATAGTTTGGGAACATTTTAAATGTATTTAGCAAGAAACTGGAACTTGTACGTTTCCAAGGCATTTTTCTCAAATAGATTAATAACATGGGCTGATTAGACACATTTTACCCAGAATAGGGATGCTAGTCTTCTTTTGAGAGCTATAATTGTCTAATAATGGTGTGAAGCTTTGTGCATGAAGAGCGTATCCTGACATTTAAACCAGGTGAGCAGAATGCCTGAGTTTCCGAGATATAGCTTGTTGGCTGTAGCACAAAACAATCAGAGTCTGATTTCTCTGTGAGCCATTACAGTCTTACTCTAGTGCAGTGACAGATTGTATTATAGCTTACTATAATTGTACCCCCTGCAGAAGCAAAAGTATGCTGGTTGTGAAGTTACAGAGTACTAGAAGCCATACCCATTGTTAGGATTTCAGTCTCTCTGTAGAAAGAGAAATGGTATACTTACTTCATTCACTGGTTCCAGCATTGTGTAAAACTGAGATCTAAAACACTATAAAAGCTTAAATAAAATGTTCTTTTGCAGAGTTGAACGTCCTACCAGAGATACAGTTTATAGTATATAAAATATTAAATAAAAAACTCCTTAGTAATATGTTGTACTAAGTCAAGTTGGCAAAATATAGGTCTCTTGAAGAGTGCACGTACCCAATCTATGAGAAGTATGTGGAGATGGGAGAAGGAATAAAGGGAAGGGGAGGAGTTAAGATTTCTGTAAGGAAGAAATACTGCCTCATTCCTAAATGATTTTAAAACTGCTGGCCCTAAAGGGGGCCTCATTAAGGCAGTAGTCCTTATAAAAAAAAAGGTCTTCCTAAGCCAGTGAAAAATACATTCAGTATATACAAGGACGTGTCAGTGAGGCACAGATAAACCTTACTGAGTCGGGGTTTTATCCGTTACTAACTTACATGACATTGAACAGTACTTGCTTCTGTCTGTATTGACTATAGAGTTGTTGTTGACAACCTGTGTATAGACGGATGTGTTAAGCACAGATCATCAGTCAAAATGTGTATCAATGGTGATTGTTGCTTGGCATTTTGGGATGGGGGAAGAAAAGCCTTTTTTTTTTTTTTTTTTTTTAACTGTTCAACTTTTTTTCTTTATGCAGGATGCAAAGTTTGTAGAGGAGCGGCGCAAACAACTACAGAATTATTTAAGAAATGTTATGAACAAAGTTATTCAAACTGTGCCAGAATTCACAGCCAGCCCCAAAAAAGAGACTCTTATTCAACTGATGCCCTTTTTTGTGTAAGTATCTATCAACTGAATATGCAGTATTCATATAAAATGTTAAGCTTTTTTCTTTGCAGTTTAATTTAAAATATAATGCCGGCATCTCTCAAATCTTTAAAACAGCATTTTATTATAAAAAGAAGCCCATTAAAAGTATAACTGCTTTTGACATGTTTAAAGAAATGGATTATATACATATACTCTATTTTTTCTTTCCACATTTAAATGGTTGATTTAAGCAAAAAGCATATTGGACAAGCATTTAAAAGCATCTAAAAAACCTAGCGCTAAAGACTCAGTGAAAGTCCCTATGGATTTGGTTTATTTTGTTTTATTCTTTCATTCTGTAGAATATACTGGCGAAAACAAATGGGATCTGGCTCATTTTGAAAATGAAATTTTGAACTTTGCAATCTGTATTGATGCAATTTTACCTATTACAGGAATAATGTTGCTGTGCCAGGTTCGGTGTATAGTTTTGTCAATGTGAAGATAGGATAAAACTGGACATAGTTCATTACAACCATGTAAAAAAAAAATCTCCTTAGCAATATGTCTTACTAAGGTAGTAAAATATAGCAATCTTGCTCAAAGCACCCCTCAGCAAATTTTCAGAATTTAGCAGAACCCCATTTAAAAAGCTAATAATACTGTCTGAATATTACAATATAAGCATTATCATATTAATTCATCTGTAATGAACTAATAGTATTATAATATAAGATGCAATATAATTATAATAAACATCCTTTCAGCTGCTTCCCTTGGCTCTGCCAGGCCCTGCACACGTTTGCTCCCAGCATAGCACCTGGACTCCCTACATATGGGTCCAGGTTACTGCTATTACTCTAGGCCAAGCCCCCCTGAACTCCAGCTCTGGAGACCCAAATGACAGGGACGAAGTGTTGCATATGAGTGGCATATGGGGGGTGCTGAGGGAGTTGGAAGGCTGGTAGGAGAAGTAACAGAACACAGAAGGTGAAGGCCAAGGACAGACACTCCCTCCCTGCTCCCAGTCTGTACCTGAGGGGGCAAGCACAGCCCCCACCACTGCAGCTGCTCCTCCAGGACTTGCATGCCAGGGTCCAGATCTCATGGTGAGTGTACAGGGAGCTGGGGGAGGAGACAGGCTGAAAAGCAGAGGTCTTCATTGGCCCACACACTTGTGGCAGAGCATGCTGCTCAGAGCAATGGTACACAGACAGGTGGAAGGGGGTAACTTTGGGTGCCCTTTGTCTGGGAGACCCTGAGTCGAGCAGGGGAGGATCAAATGGCACACTTACATCCTTGCACAGGGGCCAAGCACCATAGCTGCACCTCCAGAAATGTTACATATCTCATCCAATGCACCAAATTCCCTCACTGGCAAATATGTAGGAGAGACCAAACAACAACTGTGTACCAGAGTGAATGCATACCAGAAATCTATCAAAGACAAGAATACCCAGTTACCTGTGGGGGTGCATTTCTGACAAGAAAACCACTCTCTCTCCAATCTCTCAGTTCTAATACTCAAAGGGAATTTACAAAACACTTTTCACCGATGAGCATATGAACTTCACTTCATAAATCTACTGGATACTAAAATCATGGACTAAATATTGGATTTATGGCACAGTATGACCTGCCTAACATCTGACTCCCCAGGTATCTCTCCGCCATTTACCAGCTACATTCATTCCCCTTCCCCCCAACCTGTGTCTCACTCTCTGACTCCTCAATTTACTTTTTCACTGACTGACTTTCTTGCATGCAGACGAGCCTCTGGCTTCTTTAGTATTCATTCTATCCAGGAAGAGCACATACCAACTGCAGATGCTTCCTCAGCCTGACAAAGGGTGTTTGTACCTGAAAGCTTGCAAAGAATATTTGCAAATATTTGAGTTAGTCTAATAAAATATATCAGATTTACCCAAAGAACCTTGTCTGCCTGTGTCCTTAGACTAACATGGCTACAATCCATAGCCTTAATGAAAATGTATTTTTTAAATGTACATTCAGCCCTTCCCTGTGACAATGTACTGCCTTGCATTTGTATAAATTGTCAAATCTGTGGGTCCAGATATCTGACAGGAACCCTACCTATAGCATATTGAGTGATGAGAGCAAGTAGAATCTTGCAGGAGGAACATTGTACTTTGTAGTTTTGGTCCCACGAAATTCCCAGCATCTTACCAGGTGCAGTCTTCCTCAGTTGAGATGGGAGCAGGATTGAGACTCTGGTGTTAGAACAGGGGTGGGCAACTATTTTGGGCGGAGGGCCGCTTACCAAGTTTTGGCAAGCTGTTGAGGGCCATGTGGGTAGCCCTGCCCCTTGATAGGTGATCCGCCCCCTGGTCGCCATCTTAGGACCAGAAGTCACACCCCCTAACCTCCAACCTTTGCCACCAGAAGTCCCTCCCCATGCCCCCAGAAATACTCCTTTCACCAAGGCATTTTGCCATCTCAGGACCAGAAAAGTACCCAATTATATTCTAAAAATCGAACATTTACAACATTTATTAATTTGATTTCAAAAAATATTTTTGTCCGGATTTACATGGGTTTGTGTAGTGTACACAGAGGTGATTGCACATTAGCTTAATATGAAATCTTACTTTTGTATACTGTGGAGGGGTGGGGGGCATGGGGGCATGGGTGTAGGTTTCTGGGGGGCTGTGGGTATGTGGGATGTGGGGAGGGTGTGGGTGTGTGGGGGGGTTTTGTGGAGGTGGATAGATGTCTGGGGTGTGGGAGCATGTGGGTGTGTGCATGGATATGTGGAGTGTGGGTGAGTATGGGGTTTGTGGGGGGTTGTGTGTGGGGAAAGGGTGCCTAGGGTGTGTGAGGGGGTGTGGGTGTGGTGGTCTGCATGTATGGGAGTGCGAGGGTGTGTGTGTGTGTGCATGTGTATGTTGCGGTGTGCTTGTGGAACTCACCCTATAAACACACACACATACACACACTCTCCCCCCCCTCATTGCGCACATACTCTCTGTGCCTCCCACACTACAGACACTCTCTTTGTGCCTCCCTCACTATACACACACAGACACACACGCTCTGTGCCTCCCTCACTACACTCTCTCTCTCTTTCTCTCCCCCTCCCTCATTGCAATCACACACACACATAGACAAACACAGACACACACTCTCTCTCCCTCCCTCATTGCATGGACACACACACACACACACACCCCTTCCATGGGAGCTCCTGGCCCTGGGGTACCGGCGCGGGCCCTGTGCTCCTGCAATCTGCTGATGCAGCTGGGGGGCCACGTGGTGTTAGAGCTGCCAGCCGGCGTGCAGGGAACCTGTGAAAGTGGCAACAGGCAGAGACTTCTGGTTGGGGGGGGTGCAGGCTGGCCTTGGGAGCCCAGGGATGGGGCTAGGGAGGTGGGACCTTGGAAGATTATCGAGTCCAGCCCCTTGCCCCAGGGGCAGGAAGTCACCAGGGATCATAGGATCCCAGCAAGATAAACATCCAAATCTCTCTTGAAGGTGTTCTAAGTAGGTGCTTGAACCACCTCTGGCGGCAGTCTATTCCAGACCTTGGGGGCTTGGACAGTGAAGGCAGTCAGTCCGCTTCTGACACCAATGTCTACATCATTAATGAAGATGTTAAATAGTATAGGCCCTAGGACAGAGCCTTGAGGGACCCCACTGGTCACAGCACACCATGACGATTGATTTCCATCAACCACCACCCTCTGGGTCCTACCACAGAGCCAATTCCCCAGCCAGCAGATCGTGGTGAGACTGATGCTGCAGTTGACCAGTTTTGCCAATAGGTGATCATGGGATATCAGATCAAAGGCTTTTTTGAAGTCAAGATATATGACATCAATCTCTTCTCCCTTGTCCAGGTGATAGGTCACCTGGTCATAAAAGGAAATGAGATTGGTCAAGCAGGACATACCTGCAACAAACCCATGGTCATTAGTGTTTCCTTTTATTGTAATCTCTTTCAAGAAATCCTTCTTTAGGAAATGCTCCATTTCATTTTGTTACATGAGGGAAGTAATATAGAATTTAATTTTTATCTGCAGAAATGATTTCCCTTCTCCCAATGTTTTAAGGTTGTTACATATATTTTTCTAAACTGACTTTTAGATACCTTGTTAACACTGTTAATAATATAGCATTTGCAATTTTAAATTTAGGGCTGGTACTCGAATCTAAGACAAGGCTCCCCCATGTTGATTGGGGGAAGAAACCTCATCTTGGATTTGAGTAAATATAGTAAATCCCCTTGTGAACAAATTAAATTTTATTTGGAAATGAATTAAGTTAAATTGGTTTTAAACCATTTTAATCCTCAATAAGGGTGTTCATAAAGAGGTTTAGTTGAACTAACCACTTTAAATTCACATCTTTCCTGAGTATCCCCAGGTGCACAGTATATATCTAGAGTAGAACTCACTGGATGCATCATGTGCAATTACCTCAACACAATAAACTCTGGTACAGTTCACACCAGAGTAGGCTGCTCCTAGGTGCAGAGTTTACAAATGCGCCCAGGATCACAGCAATTCAAAACAGGGCAGGCAGCTCTGGGCTGGCAGAGGGCCCAGAGGGTCAGCCCCAGGCTCCAGGTGGTGGCATCAGGGCTGGCTGGGGCACAGGAGTTCTACAGCGAGGGGGCTAGCAACAGGCACAACATCCTCATGTCCCAGCCAGCCCCTGTCACCATCTGCATGTGCATTGTGGTGGTGTAAATTACTCCATCATAGGATGGTACTAATCCCAGACAGCACTATGATGCTTTACTACAGAGCCAATTAATTAACTTTGCAATAAAGCACACATGTAGATGCATCCACTGTTTTTTTCCCCAAAACAGTTTATAGTGGTGAGAAAGTGGAGGGGCAGTGGTGACGATAGTGTCTTCTGATTAGCCCAGGATGTGGGAAAGTAGACTTTAGTGCCCTCGTCTGTCTGAAGGAATTTGTACCTACATCTACCACCTACCCTCAGGGGATACTTTCAGCACTGTGCTTTTGATGTTTTATACTCTTCCTCTCCTGTTAACAGTG